CCAATGAAAACAAAAGAACGCCTGGCACTATCACTGCTCAGTTATCTCCAGTAAACTTCAGGGTCGAGATTTCTCCGGGAAAATTCAGGAAAAGACATGTGAACTAAATATTAAAATACAAAGAAGACGACAACAGTCGTACTGAAAAGCCGAACCCGGAGGAAACTCGACTTGAAGTAGCTAATGCTAGGAGGTCACCGCGACTGGCGGAAAAGCGTGCGAAAATGAGGCATGTCTCATAAAGGGGGAGGAAATTGTGATGTATTGGCATTAGCCAAAGGTATACGCGCAGCTCGTAGCTCTGATAACGAGCCGATGCGAGACTCTCTCGTCAGAGAGTATTCATCAGCGGACACGAGCACATGTTGCGTTCGCCGAAGTATACGTGCCAGAGTATCAATGTATACAGTTCCTTCTTTACTTACCTTAATAATAAATATATAATTAAACTACAGTGTATGTGTAATTATTGACTACTTAACAGTATGAGTCGTCTACAATACTGACAGTTTGCAACTTTTTTACATAAGCAGTTTGGTTGACATACCTAATAAACGAATTTCGTTGCGAATGCTCATGTTGCGGACGCGAAATTTCTATGTAAATTCCTTATTTTATAAAGCGCATGCTTTGATTGGACATTTTATGACTTAGAGACGTTGAGGACATGGTAAATCCAATGGTGACCTTGGATTTGATCTTGACCATAACCTCAAAGCTACAGCGACCCAACAATTGATTTTTCAAATGAAAATCCCTATCTTTTATTGCAAATTTGAAAAGAGCGGAAAATTTTTTTTTAATACAAGTATTTTGTTTTTTATTCAAGGTAATTTTAAGGGCGTTACAGACTAAAATAAAACCTCGATTTAACCTAAAATTAATCTCAAGTCAGAACTTCATTTTCTAACTGTAGCGCCCCCAAAATTACCTTGAGCAAAAAACGAAATTCATATTCTACCGTAAAATTTTTTGCTCTTTTCAAATCTGAAATAATAAATTGGAGTTACCGTGTAAAAACTCGATTTTGATTTCCTGCAGCTTTTATGTTAAGTTCTAGGTCAAATTTAAGGTCACCATTGAAATGAGCGAGAAATTTTACGTTCGAATAGGACTTAATGTTTTATTCCAATATCATTTTTGGGGCGCTAAAATTAGAAAATTAAGTTCTTACTTGAGATTAAGTTTAGGATAAATCGGGGTTGTATTTGAGTCTGTAACGCCCTTAAAATTACCTTGAGAAAAAAATTAAATACATGTCTTACGTAAAATTTTCCGCTCTTTTCAAATTTGCAATAAAAAATAGGGGTTTTCATTTGAAAAATCAATTATTGGGTCGCTATAGCTTTGAGGTTATGTTCAAAGTCAAATCCAAGGTCACCATTGGATTCCCCATCAAAAAATACCTCGGATGTGAGGTTTTTTATTTTTTTCCTCCGTATATTCAGTCCAATTTTAGAAGGTTTCCATACTTTTGTGACACCTAGTATATAATACTATGGGCTTATAAATACTACTATTATAAATACTATGGGCTTATAAATACTATGGGCTTAATAAAGGGAAAATTATCAATTTTGTTAATACTTAGGTGCGAACTATACCTAAATGAGATTGATCATTATTTTTTTGAAATTATGTCGTGTTGCGGACACGACATCGAAAATCCATAACAAAGTTAAAAAGCTCATACCATTGATATGGAAGCGCAATCGTGGCAGTTTTTGAAAAGATAACACGTAATTAAGATTTTTATTTGATATAATTTCATTTAGATTAAGGTACTCTTTATAAATACAATTTATAAGTTAATAAATCATCAAAAACTTCGTCCATAACAAATGAAATCTTCCATTTTTTGAGCGTTATCGTGGTAAATAGAAATAATTAAAATGAGAAAGTAATAAGTTAAAAAATATGTTAGGAATCTTATAGATTCGATGAATGTCGTGGCACTATTCAAATTATCATATACCGAATAGTTATTTTATAATAATTCATCAAAGTGCATATAGAGGTTAAAGGTCTGTGAGATTCTTCCATATCCATGTAATTGAGAAGCATCGAAAAATCGTATGAATACGTTATGTTAAATTTACGTATATCCACATAACTGGTTGTCCTCAAGATATTATTTAGGAATGTTGAGAGCCTTTCTACATAGCACAATCAGCGCGGGGCTTCTCAGCCTCCCTTACTAGACCCCATCTCATGTGCGTGGGTGTGCCGAGAAATCGTAGTGTGAGCGCTCTCTCGCGCCGCCTATCGATATACACACACCTCAGTTAGTTTCTGCTGTGCTCTCGAGCAAGACGCTAGACTACACCACATTTACTATAGCCTTACTTTTTCTTAACAATAATAAACAGAGTTATATTATTTTCAATAAAATCAAGTGTTCACAATTTATTCCACCATAATTTCCTCTCCGGCGCTAGGACAATAAGTCAGATAATTTGCTTTAGTCCAATAAGGAGAAACGCGTTTCAGGAAAAAACTTTATGTGAAAAAAATTCCTAAAATTGTTTAGAGAACATCCCTAAATTTTTTCAAAATTTTCCAGAAAAATTTTTAGGACTTATAAAAATGGTCAGGATTCAAAAAAACCAAAAATGATTTCTAAAAATCTGAAAAATTCAAGTATTCTTTAAACAATTCTGAAACTTGAATCACGTATTTTTTTTTATCGAATTAAAAATTATAATTAGTATGTAATTGAAAACAATTGATTTTTTAACCTGAAAATGAAGCACTTAACGAGAAAATATTTACGTTGTCAAAACCTTATAGTTTTTCGGAAAATTCTAAATGATAAAGATATTCGACTAAAAATTGACAAAAAAAGCGTGCGTCTTGTCGCTACTGGATTAATTGGTTTAAAGTATATATTGTATGACATGAACTGCCTTGCATTACAACGTGATATTGTTGATGTATTTACTTGCTGTTGGTGTGATGTCTTTGTTTCAAATCCTGTATTTATCAATACGATTAGAATGGGGGAATGTTACACATAAGTATATTATTTAAGGAGGCACTTTCAATTCAAATTTTTCTTCAGCGAGATCTTGCCGAGAGCACATTTTGCATGCGCAGTACGCACAGTGCAGCTTGGTATCCACATCGTTTTTTTCACTGTGAGTGAAAAATTTTGATTTTTTGAAGATAATGCCCTATCTGCGATGCACAGGCTTAATCCTTGAAAAATTTTCCTGTAGGGTCCTGCAAAATTCCAACAGGAGGCCTATTGGATTCCTATAAACCATATATATAACCACCACTCTGATACCCGAACAAAATAATTTTTTTTCATAAATACTTCATGAATGCTCAATTCTGGGGGTCATCCCATAAGACTAATGTAAACAATTTCATACTTAGAAATAAAATTACTCAAAATTTTGAAACGTAAGCCGTGCAAACAAATGTACCATTGGATTCAACATGATTTCATCTAAATCTAACTGATAGCGTAGGTCTCATTTCTCGACGGAAAAACTTTCAAGTCAATTTTCGCGGTTAAAGCGGAAAATTTCGGGATTTCTGACCTCAACATCGAAAATCCATGGCAATTTCCTATCGAAATAATGAGTTATTTTTTTCTTCTAAGTGCATTGAGGTACTTTTACAGTGAGTTACAAATTCAGCGATTCGACTACATAATGCCGCACCGTGCGGCACTCGGAGAGTTGACGTGAAATGTTATTTATCAACACTTGTTTATCATCTTATTGATAGGATTTAAATTGCTTAATTCATATTTAAGTATGTACTTTCAATTAAATATGATGAATGTACAAAATTCATTGTGCAACATTTATTATTTTCCACATTTATAGTATTTCCCATGTTATTTGGTCAAATTTGCCCTAATACGCTAGTACAGAATTTCGCTGCTACGCGGTGTGACGGTATCGTTCAGTCCTCAATACTACCAAAGTTGCGTTCGCTCGGGCGAGCAGACGGACGCTCGTTTTTCACAGGTTTACCCCTCATGCCAAACGCCGATAAAGATGTTTCACTTCAAAAACACATTGTTAGGTGAAAAAAAATAATATTATTACCTAAAGTTTAATTGATTAAATTATTTTTCTACAGGATTCCCTGTCAAAATTGTTGGATCTTACCACATATCAAGTTATAAACTCCTAGATTCATATTAATCAAATCTTAAAGAGTTATCGTATGTGCAGATTTTTGGGTAGAACTACATATAGTACTTTACGATACTAGTGGCATGAGTAACACTTTTTGGCACGAGTATCGTACATATTATTTTTAAATCCAATTCATTATCAGTACTTTTCAACAGGATATCCGGTAAAAATGTAATTTCAACGAATAATCTTTTATCATAAGGAAATTCAGGTATTAGGTAGAAATTTTGAAAAAAGTTGATTGTTGAAAAAGATAATTGTATTGAATCATATTTTAAAAAACAGAGTAAATTAGGGCTACCTATATGATAGAACTTGCTGTAAATAATAAACTAACACAAATAATGTAGAAATGATGAAAATTATAGAATTCCTTTCCAAATTTTACTGCCCCTGATAACTTTGTTGAGCCTCAAACACGTTTTTCTTATATTTTTGTGCATGAAAACTAATTTATTCAATAGTGAAAATTATTATCGTTTGAGTGGAATATAAAAAACCTTATTGGTATCTGAAAACTGTGATGAATAGGTAGATGGTAGAAATTTTTCGTGAGATAAGCAAAAACAGTTCGACGCTACACACTTCTAAAGATAACATTTAACGTGTTTCGTAGGATACTTTGATTAAATTCCTGTAATGGTATGGTAATAAAAACGTATAAGTATCAATAAAAAATTAAAAGTCTGATAGTTCCAAGTACGTTCAGTCATTTTATACATTTACTTAGAAAATGATTTTGATTTATCCATATTTAGAAGCAAATAATAAAATTATGGAAATAAAATTTTACACTATCGCTCAATTCAAGTATCTTGATATCAATTTAATCATTTAATAATGTATGTTAAAAAAATTATTTTAATATTTTGTGAATAAAACTACATAACATTTTAAACGCTTTTCAGTTTGTTACAGTTTTAAAATAATTATCAAATTAAACATAAGAACACTCATTCTTACAGTTACGTCAATGTTAATAACATTAGTTAAAGAAAATAATAGAAAATAAAATGCTGAATAAAAAATCAGCTAACGCTACTATAAAATTCAAAATCGCATAATAATCTGATTATTTAGAACATTTGCCTAACTAAATGCATAGAAAACAAATCTTTTGTTCAACAAAACAGATAAAATTTTTATTATTCTATTTAACATCGGCATTAACTACCGTTGGTTCGGTGTGTGAGATATATTTTGATGATACGGAGATGGAGTTTGAGGAAGTGGTGAAGGACATGTTTGTACATATGGACTTGCCGTGAGAAGAGGAGTCGGACTTGAACAGGGAACTAAGTGCGTTGAAGGTGAAACAGAATGAACATTTGTTATGAGGTGTGTGTGATGTGTGTGAGATGTTGAACAATGAGGTAAACTGGAATGCCCAGAAGTATTCGTATATCCCATATTCATGTTGCTGCTATGCGGAGTCCCATACACTAGCTGTCGCACTTTTTGTTCTTCATCCGAAATGTTGTATGATAATTCAGTTTCTTCAAAACCTGTAGCAGACATACGCTGATCTCCAGTCACTCCAGATATAGGAGGGTCTGGGCTATTCAAACATGTTTGGATTAATGCTTTGCCTGATTCACTCGTTATCATTGGTTGTAACTTTCGTGTTGCAAATGTATAGACATGTCCGGTTTCACTAGCTACTAATAGCATAACTTGTGTACCAGTCAGAGTTGAAAGTTCATAAGCCTGAAAAAAATATTTTAAATATGTACTTTTGTAAAAGGTTAAAATAAGTACGTTTAAAATGGATGAAACTGCAAAATATGAATGAACAAAAAATATTCATTTATAACAAAATTTACATGCATTCAATGAGAATTTGAATTTGCATTCCCTTCAAATTAGTAAGAATGTTGTTTTTAGTCTAAGCTAGTATTATTATACACTAAAACCAGGTAAGAAAATCTATACATTCTGTAATTGTCAAATTAAGTAGGCTCTTTCAGTTCAAGTTTTTTTTATAGTGAGCTCTTGCCAAGAGCTGGACATTTTGTGTGCGCAGTACGCACTGCGCAACCTGTCATCAGCTGATTCATATCAAAAACATCGTTTTTTTCACTTTGACGTGAAAAATCTTGACTTTTTGCAGCGTAAGCCCTGTTTTACTGTGTACAGGCTGAAAGATGAGGGTTTTTTTTTTCAAGAAACCCTGTACACTCCGATGCCCTAACAAATCAATGTTTGTTCATAAATAATTTATGTATGTGGCCGTTCCATAAGGCTACTGTTCAAAATGTTATACTTTGAGATAAAATATCTTGAGATTTTGAAGCGTAAGCCACATAAAAATTATACCATTGAATTCAGCGTGATTCAATCGATCAAATAGGGTAGGTCTCATTTAAAAAATAAATGTCTAAATAAATGTCAACTTTATGAAAATGAACCCTAAAAGAATGGAACACTTTATTAGAATGTTTCATCTGTCAAACGCAGAACTTCTGAAGGAACTCAACAATTTTATTTTTAATCATTCATGAAATTTAACTGTTTTAATAAAGGAGACCGACCGATGTTAAAAGCGTAAATTCAACTTTAGCTAAAGCCAGCTTTTTTTTGTGATAGCAAAATATGTTCATTCTACACCTGATTAACGAAAAAAAACTTCTACCTAAGTTTTGAAATCCTTATTACATTACTTTTTTCATAATTCTAAATATTGTGTTATAAATCACTTGCCACGTGGTCTTGAAAAGATTTTTTCTTCAATATTGATTTATGAGATGTGAAAATCTTTAGAAAAGTATCTTCATCTTTTTGGGCGGAGCAGAATTTGGAAAAATTGTGTACAACTTTATATACACGTCAAAATGTGACAATTAAAAAAAAAATCAATATTTTACTAACACTAAATGCTATATTTCAGCTCTTGGAAGAGAAACAATCTTTTTTTTCAAATTCTGCTCCGCTTGAGTAGATGAGAGTACTTATCTGACCCCATTGATCAATATTGATGAAGAACACACGTCAGAATTGCGTGTCAAGTAAGTCCAATTACAATATTTAATATTAGGAAAAAGTGATGTAATTGGTATTTCAGAGATTGGTAAAAGTATTTTTTGGTCAATCAGGTGTCTAATGAACATATTTTCCTATCACAACAAAAATTTCCAATATTTCGACTTATACAGATATTTTTGAATTTAAGCTTTTAACACGGATCGGTTCCCTTAATTTAGGCTTTTTAAAAGAACTCAAAGAGGAGGAAATTTTATAAATATAGATTGTTGGTAGGGTACGTTAAAATTGACGTATTGATTATGCATTATATTGTATGTTCATGATAAAGCGGACACTTTTGCGAATCAAGTTAAAAATAGTTAGCAGGACATAAATTTTATGTAAATTACACCAAATTAACTTTTAGAGGGACGGGTTTTCAGAGGTCATATCATCAATAGAGAAAACTGGAATGAAAGGTATCTTAAATCATTGATCGATCATGGGCAAAGGGTCGATCAGGGGGGCGCCAATATACTGGCTTTCCGGCCCTTTAGAGGTTAAAGAAAAATGTATGAATTTTACAATGGTATATTGATATATGCGATAAAAGATGAAAATGTAAAGGTAAAAAATATGAGGTGAAATTTTTTTTCGAATTTAGGTTAAAAATTAATCATATCATAGTCTTTTTCAACGGTGTTTTGACAATAGAAATTAATGAAAAATCGCAAACTTGGTCGATAATAAATTTTTTTGGTGAGTTGGAAAAAAGATTTTATGCTACAGCGCCAAGAACAAGACGCTCTAAGCAACGGCTGACAAGAATTGAATATGCCACATAGGTGCGTATACTATTTTATAGAACTCTAACCTCAAAATCGCAATTTTGCCGCTACATTTAGGCTCTTGTGCTATAAAATATTGTATACAACTTGTGAAAATAAGCTTTTTTAGCAAAACTCGTTACAGCTAACGTTAACAATTACCCCTTGGTCAGCCAAAGCATATCCGCATCCATTACTTAGTAGTAATTTGCGATACAAGTGTCGTAGGTAAAACTTTTCAGCCCAGCTATTGGGACTCTCACAGTCCTAACGTACTATTATACTAATACTAATACTAATAACTACTAAGTCACTAAATTACTATTACGATACAAGTGCCATAAGTAACACTTATTGCACGGCGTAGTTTAGGGCCCGAACGCAGCGAGGGTCATAATAGCTGGGCCGAAAAGTGTCCCTATGGCACTTTTGGGTACCGCGAAGTGAGGTTAGCACACAAGCGTATGCAAGTGCGATGCGAACGCAGCGGTGCCATAAATGTGAACTTATGCCACGCAGTGCTATAAAGTACTATGCTCTGCACCTCGACCATCGGCTAAATTGGAAAAGCTATTTTTAGATCAAACGTAAACACCTTAAGGAGAGTCATATACTAATTCACCCCTCTTCGTCATTTTTTGTGATATAAATCACAGTTTATTATTCATCTACATTTTCAACATAAAATTGACAAACTTCAGATCAGCGTTTTTGAGGTAGACACCCCTGGTAGGATCAAAATCTTCAGAAAAGTACCTTTTCTGGTCTAAGTTTTCTGGAATTTTGATTGGGGTCATAAAAAGTTTCTACGCCAACAGATGTAAAAAAAAGCAAAAAATCAGAAAATTATAAATGTTTTCAGGCACGTATTGAAGAATAAAACTGATATAAAGGTTTAAGTCAAGAGTTTCTAACCTATCTATATGATAGACGGCTTATAATCTTTGTAACACGATTTTCCTCCATTTACGGAGACTATACACCAATCATAACAATAGTACAGCGAGGCATCTGTCTGTCTCTTTCTCGCATTAGGCAGACAACCGCTGGCACTATTCGAAATCAATGATTTTACGCACATTTTGTTTAATTACTCATTAGTTAGTTCGTTAAGGGGTCATTTTTAACATACCAATCGAAAGCTTAGAACTTTCTCTTTCAGAAAATATATTTTTCATTAAGATGGTTGATCTTTTAAATTAGTTATAAACAATAAAAGACCGCGTCCTATAAGAGCCCGTGTTAAAATCGCCATTTTTAAACTTGTTTATCTCGAAAGTTTGATCGTCAACCACATGTTTTTTTTGGAATCTCATTTTGAAGATCTAACAAATCGATTGATGTAAGTTTTATCTTGTTAGATGATCTTTTGTATTATGCGTAGAGCCTCCTAAAGTGTAACAGAACTGTGAAAAATGTCTCAGAAACATTTTCATGACTGTAAATGTTAAAAAAATCAAATAAAGCTAAAATTTTTATAAATAAAAAGGCTTATAATGCCAAGTAAAAAATAATTATTGACTTATATGAAATTCTGTTACACTTAAATAGAAGTGGATACTTTCAGGAAGATTTTAAGATATCCACCATGAAGATTGGTCATAAACTTTTCATAAAACCTTGCGGTAAAGTGTTTTTAAAGCTGAAAATAGGTTTTAGGTATCTTGGATGCTACATTGATACACTGGACTTTCATCATGTTTTTTTTTTCATTCAAATGAAGCAAAAAAACATGAGAACTTAATTAATGCATTTTTAATTGCATAAATATCAGTTAAGCTTTAAACACTGGTTTGTCCCGATTCATTGTGACTTGAATAGGGCTTTTTCACAGTCGTCAGTGACGGTCAAAAATCGACCAGCTGATTTGCCTGGAGGCAAAACAAAGCGAACACCCATATACTTTACATGTTAAAATTGGTTGATGAAAGAAGTTGTAATTAGTTTACCGTGCAGTAAAAAAATAAACAAAAATTATCTGGAGAAAGCGGAAATCCTTGTGTATCGAAATATCAAAGCGGTTTTTATTTAAAGTCTTCAGTTTGTAAATAAAAAAATATTGAAATTTCCGCTTTTTTGTCTGTGATATTGTCAATAAACTTTAATAAAATAGCTATTAAAAATGGTTTTTTGGGTTGCAATATAAACTCTCAAGCGGGGAAATTTTTATTCTTTCAAATTACCAACGAAAAACTTAGAAACAATCGTAATTTCGAAAAATTATGAAAATGATCTCGCAATCGTCTTCTAACCCAAGTCTGCTGTTGGTGGAAAGATAATATTCTTAATTACGATTGTTTCCTAGTTTTTCGTCGGTAACTGCAAAGAATAAAATTTCCCTGCTTGAGAGTTTGTATTGCAACCTAAAAAACCACTTTTAATAACTATTTTATTAAAGTTTATTGACAATATCACAAACAAAAAAGCGGAAATTTCAACATTTTTTTTATTTACAAATTAAAGACTTTAACTAAAAACCGCTTCGATATTTCGATACACAAGGATTTCTGCTTTCTCCAGATATTTTTTGTTTATTTTTTAACTGCATGGTAAACTAATTACAAATACTTTTACCAACCAACTTTAACATGTAAAGTATATGGGCGGTCGCTTTGTTTTGCCTCCAGGCAAATCAGCTGGTCGATTTTTGACCGTCACTGACGACTGTGAAAAAGCCCTATATGTAAACGGTGCGTGAAGGTATAGCTCGCTTCTTTGATGATCACAAAAATTTCCGTTCCCTTTTTTTCTACTTCTCCTTATTTTCCATCTTTCTACTCTCTTTCCTCACCAAAAGGAAAATCTACAAATATTCGCTTTTTATCGCATATGGTGGTGTATGTAAAAAGGATTGTAAATACAAATTGAATTGAACAAAAATTTTACCTGCCTAGAAATTTCAAGTGGTTTTCAATTATAGATCCAATCATTTCAATAATAACTAATTATGTTACGTCAAATACAACGCAATGAAATCGGAACGTTACAACTTTTGTTGAACTTCTAAAAACTATTTTAAACTTCTGTCAATTATTATGAGTTCAATATCCGACGATTTATTGAAGTTTACAATAGTTCTTTCACTAAATATAGGAGCAAATTCTTGCGTAAAAACTGAAGTAATAACTTAATTTAGGAGTTACATAGCCATATGTAAGATCTCGATCAAAAAAAATCGACAAAAAAATTTACTCTTTTCTGACTTATAATTAAAATTCTAAATTCAAGAAACTGAATTAATGCTGTTATAATATGTATCTTTTTTCGCCCGGTCAAGACCTTGGGACTTTACATAAGCTCCTATATAAAAAAGCACGTACATTTATAAGGCTTTAGAAATGAATCAGTTTTTACACAAGAACTTGTCAGAACTTTTACTGTCGATTTAATATGTAAGATTTTAAGTAAGATACAACGTAAGATATTATGTTAATTGTTAAGAACTTACATGAGAACTTATTTAACGTTTTCATTAGGGTTATAAAGCAATTGCTATAAGTAACACTAAGAGCATAGCGTGGTGTTCCCCGATGACACGAGCATCATGCATGATTTAATAGCACCATGTGCTAAGTTTGCACTTATGCCCCCTTTTCCGAGACGTAAGTGACCCTTTCTGATACCGCAAAGTGAGGTAAGCGGATTAGCGTAAGAAGTGCAATGGGAACGATAAAGGTAAAACCCTAGAAAATGTTACTTATGCCTTGCAGAGCTATGCATAGCTGTTATCTAATTTAAAGAACGGTCATAAATCCTTATTCATTTCTAGATACATATGGTCATTTATTAATTTTTAAGACGTAGAAAATACATATTCAAGGTAATTGACCCAGTTGAAAATAATTGCATGGATATCCACGTGGATCAGACATTGATTCTACCTTGATTAGACATGGATACCGCGTGGATAAGATATGACTTGAAAAAAATTCAATCAACGCGGATTTCGAACTGGCCCACGTTGATTTTTGTTTAATCCTCGTGGATTTCGGACTTGTTCGCGAGAACGCTCGAAGGATCCGCGAGGTCACGTCGGGGAATCGTCATGGGAGAAAATCATGCCAAAACGTCTTCAGGAAGTTCAATTTTTCGTGTGAGAATATCATCCGGGTAGCCTACTTTTGTGATCATCAAAAAATCACGACTACCTGAAGAAAGTCATCGCCGAGTCCTGATCCTAACATAGTACACATCCAGAGTAAGAGCGGAAGCAAGATTTTCAAATTGTGATTATATTGTACAACTAGTTAGTAATTACCTTAAGGTAGTATAGGCTGTTTTCAGAGACCGTCACTAACCGCTTCGCTCGAACAGCTGATTTGCCTGTAGGCATAACAAACCGAACAGGAAAGCCGAAAAATAATAGAAATTCTGAAGAATTAAGGGAACTGAGTCGAAAAAGGCAATATACTCATGCTTTAATATTTAAATGTATTTTCAAATATCGCTAAAACAATCACGGACACGCGCAAGTCAGTGTTGACAGCAGCTGAGTAGCGAGTTAGACTCTGAAATGACCGAAATTTCAACAATTTTTTTTGCAATAACTAAAGAGAAATCGTAAAATCCGCTTCGATAGATGAAAAGATGAAGTCTTCCTCTACACCGACATATTTTTTATATATTTTTAGAGCATCTCATTTATTTGTAATTTGCAGTCAAACTAATCGACTTAACATATAAAGTATATGGAAACTCGGTTTGTTGTGCCTACAGGCAAATCAGCTGTTCAATCCTGACCGTCAGTAACGCTTTGTGAAAACGCCCTATCTCACCTATACGGTCGCTCTACAATATAATAACATCATTTTGTCAAAATTTAACTTATGAATTGGCACTATTTTGCAACTAAATTACAATTTGTCATTAAAATATGTATAGGTATAGGCAACTTTTGGTTAAAATCCTCGATATATTACTTAGCAAAAAAATCTCAATTTTCTAACCTCTTTTTGTAATTTTTCAGATTTTCACTAATTAATAGCTAATGAAGTGACATTCTGAAAAGTTTCACATAAAGCTGAAGTATTTTTTATCTATTACAAAAAGTTTCGTTGATATCTCTCCATAGGTTTGATAAATATTCGATAAAATATACATTTTTCATATGTTACCCATTTTAAATGAGCGAAATGCTTATTACTAATTACTCAACTCAGGGCTAACCCCAGGGTCCAAAAATCTGTCAGAGTCTTTTTGATGCATAAATATAGAAATATGCCGAGTTTCATCAAAATCTCTCCATAATTTCAATTTGGTGATATACTACCTTACTAGAAAGAATAAAGGACGATTCGTTTTTTGAAAAATCACAGCTTTTGCTATGAGAAGGTGTATTTAAACAATTTTTTTTCCAGATGCGGGTAATTTTTATGAAAGTAAAAATTTTTCCAACGCAATCAAAAGTTAGCAGATTTCTACTTAAAGAATTATGAATTCAAATCTAATCTTATTGGTGGGCACAACTGGAGCTCTTTGGAAAATATTGAAAAATACATTTGAGTAAAATATAAACACATTTAGAATTCTTTGAAATACTCGCAAGGTTTCAAGAATTTTCAAAAATTAACACAACAACTTCTTTTTCAACTAACAGCTTTCATACTTATTCACTGTAAGTTTTTGTCAATAGACATTGTGTCACAGAAATTTTTTTATTATCATTGTATCAATTTTATCTACTATTTACTAAAAAGACAGATTTTAAATAATTGTAAATAAAATTAAAGAAGAAAAAAATGTGCCTCTCCAAGTATTACTTTAATTCTAGTATTTCAATTCATCCATTCTTTGAGAAAAGGTTATCTTCTGCATTTTATTAATTAATTTTTGTATTGAGCTGATGCTATCCAGTATAGAGATTAAGTTTTGATATTTTTTATGAAACTTAAACTGACTATTTTTTTCCTTGCTACAAAATTGTGAGGATATTTCAAATGATTAATAACATCATCTTGATTAAGTTTAGCATTGACATCATATGTATTTTGTTATAGAAATTTATGACTTTTTCTGTGAATTTAAGAAAATATTTTTTTATTATGCAGTTAACAAAAAATAAACTATAATCAACCAATTTTTTTTGTATTTTTCCTAATATGCTAATATGATGTGTGGAAAATAGATTGTTTTCTTAGAAAGATTTACTGAAATAGTTACAATAATATCTTTATTTATATTATAAAATTACAATTATAACAATTGAGAATAATATTGAAGCTTACTTTAATAATGCATTCATTTAACTGAATTATAGTTTGCATTAGAAGGGATATTTATTGCAATGACTTTACATAGCATAAATAAAGTTTTATTTTCAATAGATTTAACACTAACAAAGAACATCAATGATTACGAAATATTTGAAATAGTTTTTTTTAATGAATACATAATCATTTATTTTCAATGCATTTTATGAGTTGTCATTTAAATTATTTTGTGTAAAATGTTTTTGTTTTTTAATCAATTACCTAAAAATTTGTAATTATTTAGATTGATATAAAACTCATCCAAAAGATTTGTATTGTTCAAGAAATACTTGCTAGTAATAATTTATGTTAATATAAAAATTTGAAAGCTTTACTGTTCCAAAGTTTGTTCTAAATTATATGGGCATTTAAAGTAATAAATGTAATATCATCCTAACCACGCAACTAAATTTTAAATTTTGTTCCATAATTTTACGTAGTACTCATAAAAAATTAAATATTTTCTATTTTAAGAATAGTATAATGCAGGTGTCTATTTTGTAAAGCATGCAATATTAATACAATGGTTTTGAAATAAGTTTCTTGTTTTAAAAAATAAAAATTCATTTCAAATAGAAAAAAGATTGCTCTTATTTTAATATATGTTATACAGATGTAAAATCCATTGCAAAGATTATTTTATATTGTTAATATTTGAAGTCTATTAATATGTAATATTAACTCACTTTTTTCATGATTCCAGTTTTCCTTTTAGAAAAAGTTGTATATCGCCTCAATTTATTATCAATGTATTCCATTTTTATTTTCACCCTTCCTTTAGTTTTTTTACCATTGGAAGGTGGTGATTTTTTTGAATCCTCTGAATTACTATAATTTTCATTTGATACACATGGTCTAGAACAACTTTGAGGTTGATGAGAAATTTGTTGTGATTCTATAGTATTGTCATCGTAACACATATTAGAAGTTCTCTTAAAACCTCGTTGTAAAGGTACATCATGTACATTACTAGTAGCTTGAGATATCATTGTTACAGAATCAGATGCCATAATAGAATTAGGAATATTTTCGATGGCATTCGATATTATGTCATCTTCACAAGTAATTGTCTGACAATTTGATGACTGTCTGTAAATTCCAGTTGTGTTACTTCCCATTAAAGCTAAGGTATAACCAAGATCTATGTATCGTGTGTCTCTTGTATTATTAGATTGGTCCATTACGTTTACTCACTTAATCATATTTGAATAAAGGCTATAGCCTTAAGATCATGCCAAAATTTTTTTAGACAAAATTCAATGTTATGATGATAATATTATATAGTTTAGCCTATACACAGCGAATAACAAAAAGTAGAGCATTTTTCATAGTTCAAGAATATTTGTAACTGAAAATGTTGTGGTTAATGATCGGTAGAACTCGATTATTAAAATATTCAACAAAACCAAAAATAACTTAGTCACTTAGAGAAACCATGCATACACCTGAGAAACTATATAAATTAAAACTTCTATACACGGCTCGTACTACGCCACTTGGACACTCAGCGTCTATTATACCCCCACCATTTAAAAATACGCTTAAACTATCTAGCAATATGATGGTTACCAACGTAGTTATTAAAGAAATTTTAAGAATAATTTATAATTATAACAAATTGAACTAAAATATAGAAACACTTTTCATGAAATTATACATTTAGTGTTTTAATTGTTGTAGTTATTACAAAACCATCATAGCATAGTCACATGAGCAACAGTGCGGAAGCTTTATACGGATGCCATATTTAGAAGTAGACCCTACTATATAAGGAAAACTATACCTTATATGGCATTGGGATAGTGCTCGTTACATCCCCATTCGAATATTGTGGCTTTTGCTAATGATTCCTTATCCTTATAAAAATATATGATCTTCAATACAAAATACGATCAATATTTAAAAATAAAAATATGTATGAAAACATTCAATTTGAATTAATGTAAGACTCTATAAGTTTTATGTAAATTTTTTCTTATAAAAAAAATTTTTTCACGTGTACATATAAGGATCTTCTTATCGAAATCGTATATAAACATTTTTTTATATTGAGATATACGCAAAGATTGCATCTAATCATTCGTCGTTTTTTAATTTATTTTGCGTGGAATATAAAATACGTTTATAATTGGATAACTTTTGAGTTAAGGATAATTCATGGATTTTTAAAGTTTTAATTTTTTTTTTAAGTTAAAAATTAAATTCCCTTGTAAAAATTCTTCATTCCATCTCGCAAGAAAACGCAAAGTTCCTGATGGAGTCCTGAAGAAATTTCGTAACTTTTTTTCAAGTTTTTTTTTTGATTTTTATGAAAAAATCCTATTTGGATCCGATTTGTGTTTTAATTTAAACCAGATGAGTTGAACAATGTGTGAATTTTGTTAATGACTTTGAAAAAAAATTGGTTATTTTGTTTGCAATGGTCCGCTAGCCTTTGAACAAATGTATGTAGAATCCGCAAAATTCCTACAAGATCAGTCCTACAGGATTCCTGAACACAGGAAAGTTTTTCAAGGGTTTATTTAAAATAAAAAAATTTATGCACTCCCTTGAAAAATTTTCTTGTAGGATCCCGCGAAATTCCAGCTACAGGAGGCCTAGTATAGGATTCCAGAAGGAATTTTTCTAAGGGACGCTCGGATCAAGCACACGATCAAGCGCTTCAATTGAATTTTCATAAGATCTTCCTTTGGCATTTTTATGATCAAGAATTCGGCCGGTAGTGTGACGCTGTACCCTTAAATTGATACCTGCACAGGCAAAGCCTAAATGGAGGATAATTTTTTATTTAAACCGCGACTATTAAATACTTTGATACGTATTCTTTTGGAAAACTCGCGAAAAATTATTTATATTATACCTTATTGAATAGAAACATCGAAACGATGATTTCCTTATTCAATCATAATATTTATTATTTTATAGCACTGTGTGGCATAAGTTCACATTAATGGCACGCTTTTCTGTATAAGCCGCACATTCAGGGCTCAGGTGTGGCGTCATCACCTAAAGTTGGCTCGAGCACAATTCCGCTAGGGCACCTGCTCTTCTATCCACCGTGGGCTTAGTTTTATTTCAAATTTTTCTCATAACGCGTCCGAAATATCAATTTATTTTTTAATATTAATTGGAGGATCATTTTTTATTTAAAGGGGGATTGTACGTATTCTGTGCATGCATGTATAAATTTAAAGGTATAGCGCGTTACACTACCGCGAATTGATCATAAAAAATAAATTTATTTTTCGGACTTTGCTTCTTACTTCAAATCGTACGTATATATGATTGTTTTAAGCATCAATTATCTCCATTCTATTATATAATAGGTACACATCTGCAGTTGTAGTTATATAGCGATAACAATGCTACGAAAAACTTTTCATATTGTTCAAATTTTCTGTTGTTCGAGTTATAATATTTGTATCAAATTAAGTGTATAGTGTCTATTGATATTCCGATAGTTGCCATTCTAAGTTATATTCGCTCTGAGCGTTTGGGCGGAGCTTAGAGTGGCGCTACAGTCACCATTTACTCGTAATTTTATGGAAAAATAGGATGCGTCCTGAAAAAATGCCAGCGTCGGCCGCTTGAACTAAATTTTTTCTTATGAGAATTAATATGAGAAAGCGCCACGCTATGTGAACGCTCGGGGCCAATAATAGTTTACAGGAATTCACCTGTCGTCTTTATTGATTAAATATTTAAAATAATTATGAGAGAATGTATATAACTTTTTTACCCATTTTTACAAGTACTTAAGATCATAATTCTTATAAATAAAATCAGAAATTTTGAAATTTACGTGCTTACACAAGAGCTTATAGATTTGAAGATTTGAAAATTTGGTCGCTTACGTAAAAGTTCGAAGGATCGATAATCGTTGGTAAATTCCTCAATAAGCTCTTATAAGCTTTTTTATATGATCTTTTTAAGAACTTGTATTAGGGCTTTTTAAAAATTTTCATTGGTGTACCCTATGCCACTTGACTTTGATTTTCATTTAAAGAATAATTATAATGTTAGTGACTGCTCTTAGTGTAGCATTTTTAGCAGACTAAAGCAGTATATAATGCAACAGGCTACAGCATTTATCGAAATGATCAGTGCGCATGACAACCCACCACAATTCTGCCATCTTGCGGTCAATGATCATATCCCCGAATATTGCCGTAAGGAGGTTCGGGGGTCTCAGCAAAATGCAGCCAGATTTTTAAAAAACATTTATTTGCTTTGAAACTTTATATTATGAATGTTAATATCAAAATACAACTTTTCACCGTAAAATTTTGTTAAAATAATAAAAAAAAAATGTTGCCCTTTTAACATGGTTTCTTACGAGAAATCATGAATTTTTGACTTTCAATGAGCATAAACATAATGTAAAAAAACAAAAACTAAATAGGAAAAAAACGTACATATAGGAAATTTAATAAGGATTAATTTAATAATGATTTAATTATTAATAATAGCTATAATTGTGTGCCAGCTCATTGAAAAAACCTATAATTTCGTGTTATTTCGAAATTGGCAGCGCTGAAAATTTAACATTGGAAGTATGGAGCCCCTCGCGCCCCGCATCGCCCCCCTCTGAGACTCCCGAAATCCTCCTTAAATATTAGATAACATACATTTAATAAAAATGTCAGATCGATATTTTGGTACCGATGTTAATCTCGTCACCTAATTCAATAATAAATTTAATAAAAATAAAAATTATAAATAATAATAAATCTCAATAATAAAACTTGTTGAAATAATTAAAAATCACTTTATCGAAAACCCAAACATTCTTTATTATAATAAAATATTTATTGATAAATTCATTACGAGCGAGATTTACATCAGAGGCTACCCTAGATCTGACATTAGATCTGATGTAAGTTCAGATGTCAATTATCATATGTAAGATCTGATATAAGATTTGATGGTGTTCATGAGAGCTTGTTTCAGGTTTGATACATTATTTCCACTTCATAGCAATTCAAACAAAAAACAAAGAACTTGAGAACATATTTTCTGAAGATGTAAATCAGGATTTTTGATTCGCAGTCCTATAGCAATCCTGTAGGAATTTCACGGGATCTTACAGGAATTTTTTTCAAGGGCTCAAAGGTCCTAGATCACTGTTCCGTTATTTTATTTGTTAAAAATAAACGTTTGCTCATTTCTGTTATGTCAATTAACAGATGAGAAAAATTAACCTTAGGGTTCGTTTCATAAAATGTGTTTCGTAGGGTACTTCCGTGTTTTTAACTTAAGTGAAAGAGCATTAAATTATGACTCAAGTAAGCAGACTTCTAACCATCTGTTGTTACTAAAAGTAAATAGTGTAGTAAATAGAGGTTTGCTGTGAATGCAAGTCATCTGATCACTAAAGTAATATAAGAATTTAGTTTTTAGTATTATTTAAAGGAAAACTTCAAAACAATGACTGCTGTTCACGTAATCAACAATAATGATCATTTTCATCAAGAATTAAGAAATGCTGGTTCAAAACTTGTTGTAGTCGATTTTACTGCTGCATGGTAAGTATAACTAACCCATTCGATTCAATGTTCTTACTACTGAAATAACAAGTGGATTTTTTTTTTGAAAATATTGACACTTATTTTATCACTGAGGTTGTGCGAATAATGTACCAGTTAAACTTTATTTTGGTTTTCATAAATGTATTTTCAAGTACTGTAATAATGAAAATTCAAAATCTCATTAAATGCAATGTGGAATAAGGCATAAAAGATTTTATCACTAAATTAAACTAATAATATATTAAATTAATATGAGTAAATTTGTTTCCAACTATTGTTTAAGATAAAAATTTATACTGATACTACCTTTCCGATAGCATCATTTTATTAATTTAACATTTAGTATCTATGAATTATTACTGATATACAATAATAATTGTAAAACATCATTTATAACCGCTTTTATTAAACATGAACTGAATTCAATTTTAGTTTTTGTCTGATCCATTTGATTATTTTGATATAATATTTTTTAAATTTATGATTTAACACAAAAATATCTATCACATTATGACATTTATTACTGTCAAAGATTTAATGACCCTATAATGGACTATTGTCGTCAATAATATCGACTATAGAAACGAAAATTATTCATAATATTTATTCATAGATAAGTCTTATCTAATTTACTTTATAAGCTTTACATTATATTAAACTTTTTTATTACATGATATCATAATAATTATTTAAATTTTTTAAATCACTTCTTCTCTAATGATACCAAGTAAATAACTTACTTTAACTATTGTATTGATAATATAACTATTACGAAATATAATCTATGAAATTGCAAAACATTAACTTTTAGAAATTAATAGAAATTTTATGAGTGCTTAATAGTTAAAAATTATTACATATGATAACTTTTTACTTTATTGAAAAAAAGCAACAAGCCCATATTAGCAGTGCTAACTAAGACTATTACTTTGTTACAGACCAATAAGAAAATTCTATATCAAAGAAATTTTCTTTCTTTTAAAATGCGTTCAAAACTATAAGCTCTTGTGCAAATTTTCAAACGATAATGACCAATGATGGAGATTTTAATATTTGATCAAGTACTTATGTAAGAGCTTATAGTTTTGATTGACACAAAAGTGTTATGCATATACAAATCTTAACTAGGAAAATTTACACACAAATTTTTTGGATGCTTGTAGCTTTCAAGTTAAACCAGTTCTTAGATGAGAATTCACTGATCTAGATAAAATGTAAAATTTTATGACAGCTTTTATTACAAGTTTGCATAATTATTTATTTCATATTTGCATTTGGATATTCATATAGGAGAGAGCAGGGCGTGTTGCCATGGGGAAATAAGTTAACAATTTATAGAATTCTCTCAATCAACTCAGATGAAAACTTTACTAACATCTCAACCTTTAATTTGATGATCAAATTAATTAAAGTTATAAATAACAATAAATCTTGATAATAAAACTTTTTGAATCAAATGAAAGTCACTTTATCAAAAACCCAGACATTGTGGTGTTGTTCTTAAAGATATTATCAATATGAATATTAAAACATAACTAAATTTAATATTAAATTTTATTTATTGATGCATTGATTATTTGATTAATAGGAGCAACATTTATATTGGTACTCACTGCAAATCTGACATCAGAACATATATAAGTGAATAAATAAAAAGCTACGAAAATCAAATAATCTCATAAATCAATTAACAAATCAAATAATTAAGCAACAATAAAAATTTGAGAAGAAATTAATGAATTAAATAAAACAACGATAAAAATTAAAAAAATCTCTTTAAAAAATGAAAGAAAAAAATCAGCTGTTGATGAAAAGCTGTAAGATATGAAACATCTTTATCAATTCATAAAGAATTAAATTTTCAAAGTTGAACATATTAAAAACAAAAGAATTGATCAATCAAAAAGTTACAATAAAAAATGTCAAATTAGAAAAAAATAAAATAAATTCAAACTAGAAACTGAAAAATCAAGAACCACTGAAATCAAGAAAATCTGAGAAAATCACAACACAAGCATTGATGTTTCACATCTGGTGCATAATGAACGAGTGTTTACTCTTAAAATAAGAATAGTTTCTTCGAGCATAATTGCACCAGATGTGAAACATTGATTTTTTTTGTTCGGTTGGTGGCGTCTGACCGCCCGCGCGCGCGAAAAAACCACGTTTCTTCTTCTTTCTCTCGCTATATCTAGCTAAAATCAAAAAACGCCTCTCTGAAAAATGTGCATATCGATGGAAAATTTCCTGATCTTTCGATCTAAACTATTTAAAAAAATCTTAAAAATGAAGTTTTCGAGATAATCGACTTTAAAGTTTTCCCAGCGATTTTCCCGGGTAAATCGGAAAATTTCGGAAAATCTGACCTCACCATCGGAAAGCCGAGGCAATTTCCCATCGAAACCATGGGTTCGTTTTTTTCTCTAGGTGCATTTTAGTACTTTTACAGCGATTTCTAAATTTAGTGATTTGACTTATTTCTGCCGCGTCGCGTGGCACTGGGAAAGTTGACGTGAAATGCCACATATACAAAAAATTTCGATCAGACAATATATGTGTAGATAACTAACATAAGGTTAGAATACGAACTGCGCTAATATAAAAACACAAGTGTTAAGTAATAGGTTAGTTTTCTAGAGGCAAGCAAATGTTTGTTTGTAAAAATCAACGTGTAAAATAATTCCATGAAAGAAAAAGCAGCAGGGTTAGGTCGAATGCTTGCGGCTCTCAAAAAATCGAAAAATCATCTCGGGAAGCCAGAAAATTATTATTTTAAAATAATTTTACCAATCTAAAAGATACTACATACTGCACTAAAAATTATCATGTTGCCTAACAAAAGTTAATATATCGCCGTTGCTTACGAGTAAAAACACACATCATCGAAGCACCGTGAAAAAAAACTCACCTCTTTGGATACCATGAAAAAAACACACCTCTTCGGAGCGCTGCGAAAAAAAAACACACCTCATCGGAGAGCTGCGAAAAAAAGCACACCTCATCAGAGCGCTGCGAAAAAAAACACACCTCATCGGAGCGCTGCGAAAAAAAACCCACCTCATCGGAGCGCTGCGAAAAAAAAACACACCTCATCGGAGCGCTGCGAAAAAAAAACACCTCATTGAATGCCATGAAAAAAAACACAGCACATTGGATGCCGCGAAAAAAACACAGCTCATTGGATGCCGCGAAAAAAAAACACCGCATTGAAACTTGTTTCGTTTTTTTTCTGCTGTGTTTTTTTTCGCGGCATCCAATGAGGTGTGTTTTTTTTCGCGGCATCCAATTTGCTGTGTTTTTTTTCACGGCATCCAATGTACTGTGTTTTTTTTCATGGCATTCAATGAGGTGTGTTTTTTTTCGTGGCGCTCCGATGAGGTGTGTTTTTTTTCACAGCATTCAATGAGCTGTTTTTTTTTTCGGGGCATTTTATCAGTATGTTTTTTTTCGTAGCGTTTTCCACTGTGTTTTTACTCGTAAGCAACGGCGATATATCGATTCTGGGGCTCTTTTCATAGAAAACATAGCAATATTTGCTAGCGAATGTGTTGATATTTAGTATAGTATTTCTCTCCATGTAGACATTACTTCGGTAGGCACTCTATTGAGCTTCTCTGCTGTATCTGTGTCTTTTCTAGGGCTGTGCGAATACTCGAGTTTTTCCGGGTACTCGAGTTTTTTCGAGTAATTGAGTTTTTCCGAATACTCGCAATATATTTAAGTTTTAAGTAAATAAATGATGAATCAACAGTCTCTAGACCGCTCTCTTTGTATGTACATGCTTATAAGTGTTGTCACATTACGCGAATATGATTACAAAAAGTAATAAAAGGTAAATTGAGTACTCCCGCGTAATGTAACAATTGATTGTCGCACACGTGTTCGGGAGATATTTATATTGCTACGTTCCAAAGATCCCATTAGACTGCAATAAAACTCTGATTTCGGGAATATAAAAAATGTGTGAGAAATACTAGGCATGGTAATTTTTCTGTAACATCAATCTGATATCAAAGAAACTTGAGTCCGCGCCATGAACCAAGAGTATAACATGCATTCACGCTGGAATAAAAATCAACTAAGTAAATATAGTAATGGAGATGCGGCTATGTGGCCAGCTGATTAAATAAGCTGATCATATGGAACGTTCATAAATTCTAATAAAGATATCCTTTTTACCTTTCTCATTCACATTGACCAGAATACTCGGTAATAAACGACGCTATCGTACAGCACGAGTTTACGATCAAACATTGTCGGTTACGATCCATATGCAGTCTGAGGGGTCACGTGTTCGGAATTTATCTCATTTCTTTTGATAAATTTAGAATTAGGAAGGAACGGGTGAGAAGTTAGATGGTGAAAGGGAATGAACCTCATTGATATAAATAGGCCGCGCTTCCGAGGAATCGGCCTTGTTACCTAGAGTCAGCCGACCCGTACACAGCTCGTGTAAGTGTCGATACATTAAAATCCTACGAAAATCTAAGTCAAGCTCTAGAATCATCTTTGAAAAGTTAAAGTGCGAATAGTTTTTGAGAAGTAAATTCATTGCTATTTACGCGAGGCGTTCAAGTGATTCAACTCCTCTGAAGATCATTTTGGTTCTCCATCGTCCGGGGCAGCGTACGAGAGGGACATCACCGAGCTAAGAGGAGGCCAGTAAAACGTGTGTGTGTGTGTGATAAAATCAAGTACGAATAAATCAATGTGAGTCTTTAAAAAATTATATAACTTTGTCAACATATCATTATTTCAAATAAACTCCTAACCATTTCTGTGGGTAAAAATAAATATATATAACTATGTAATATCTGTTAATTCGGATGTTACAGTGTGATGAGGTGTGGTACTATTAAATTATTTTCTTCTTCCAATTCTAGCCGTTGCAAGTATCACACTTATAAGCATATACACACAAAGAAAGGGGTCTAGAGACTGTTGATTCACTATTTATTTACTTAAAATTTAAATATATTGCGAGTACTCGAAAAAAATCGATTATTCGAAAAAATTCGAGTACCCGAAAAAACTCGAGTACTCGAATTTTCCCGATTTGACTCGAACTCGACCCGAGCTCGGCGAGTCGAGTTCGAATCGAGTAAAACTCGAAAAATCGGATACTCGCACAGCCCTAGTCTTTTCGGTGAGGCCGGGGTTAGTTGAGCATTTCTGCTACTTCTGTTTGTCATTGTTTTTCCATACATCCCCCATCCGTCGCATAGTGATATGCGACGATTAGGGGTTCAGGAACTCATCTTTTTTGATGTGAAACATCTATATTCGCGTTTGGTGTCGGGGGTAAACCCGTAAAAACCGACGTCCATCCGTCCGTCCACCCGAGCGAGCGCAACTTTGGTAGTAGAACTGCCTATACAGCGTCGGTTTGCGCTACGCGCTGTGATTGATTGCCGTGCCAGCTACAGAACTGCTTTCTGCTGCTGCCCGCTGCCGAGACTCGACGCGCGTATGCCTGTGTTTACGTATACGCACGAGGCAACGTAACAGCATAAGCAACAGCAGTCAGCTTAGGTCACGGAATTGACTGCGTTGCGATATCATTCTCTCTCTTGCTTATGCGTAGGATAATACACAGAATACTTATGTGCTGTTTATGCGTACACGTCGCGAGACTCTAAGCACTATCATGCATGTTTTCAAATCTGATATTAACCAATGCATGTATGTATACGTGTCTATGAGTGTGTGTCTTCTTAAGGGAAGTCGACATTTTTATCATGTTATATTAACATACAACGAACGATAATAGCTCAATGCACTAATTTGATTGATAAAACAAATTGAAAATTGAAAAAATTTAAAAAAATCAGCTGTTTATGAACAGCTGCAAGTTTTTACTTGGTGAACCTCCGATCCTGCGCAATGCCATCGTCGATTGTCGTATCCCCTTTTTTAGAACCGTCTACTGCGTGGACACACATTGCTGGCATCTCCTCCTGAGTTAGACGTCTTTTTAGAACTCGCTGTCTAGTGCCATCTTGTGAGTGTGGTTCTCGCTTCTGCCGCCGATGGCAAGTGCCCAATTTGCTCTGTCGGCTACATCTTGTGAGTGTGGTCCTCGCTTCCGGCGCTACGCTGTGAGTCTCCGTGAGTTTTTTTGATACTCCTCCTTTTCTGTTGTCGTCTTGTGAGTGTGGTTCTCGCTTCAGGCGCCATCATGCGTGCTGGAGGAGCCTAGGCCCACGCATCCGGCGCCCTCTTGTGAGTGTGGTTCTCGCTTCCGACTTCATCGTGGGAATGTTGTGCTTCATCTATTGCCAGCCTTGTGAGTCCTCGCCTCGGGCCCCTACTTATGGTTATCCTATCGCTTCCAGCTCGTACAGTGATCGGGGTTTTTTTACCGCTTCGGGGGCTGATGACATAGCCCGGGTCTTCTTTTTGAGTGGTACCCGCTCCACCTCGGGCACGGGCTCGATCACACCAGGCGAAAAAACGAACCTCGAAATTTCGCCAAGTGGGGATCGAACCCACGCCCTACGGCACACCTTGTATCAGCAGGCAAGAACTATACCCACTGAGCCAAGGAGGCCGATGCCGGGGTGTGTGTGTGTGTGTGTGTGTGCGTGTTTTATAGAGGAAGAAAATCCATTTATTGATTCAACATGTGACGGTGTATCGCATGGATATGCCAGACTCTAGTAGTGTATTGATTCTGCATTACTAGTACCGACTAAAACCTTTCTCACTTCTTCTGGCCCTGTTCTTTCCCTGCAAAATTACCGTTGGGTATTCGCGGGGAGGAATTATTCCTCAGTATAAGCTCTTCCTTGGTGTGTCAATCCTTGTCCACTGCACGATGCTAGGCTAAGCCGAGTGACGTACTCGTTTTTCAGGAGCTGACTTTTGTTAGTGCTATCGTTGAGGAGTCTTGTTGTGAGCCACTTTCTTGCTGTTTTGCGTCTCCTCTAGAGTAAAGGACTCATACCCGCTGCACTAGTGCCATTTCGCGAAATAATTGAATTATTCGATTTCTCGCAAAATTTTGTATCGATATGCTCTTAAACTTTTTTTTCAGTGACAGTGCAAAATTGATCACAATATCTATAAAATTAAAAAATGCAGTTCGAGGCGAAACAACAATGAACAATTTGTTTAGGTATCTGATGTGGTCAAGATCATCCTGATTCAAATATGTTCTAGTGAAAAAATTTTTGTTAAGGGGAGGCTCTCATGAGACTCGATCAAAAAATCAACTTTTTTTTTGCTTACTTAGTTAGCAAATGTCCCGTAGAATACACCTCCGAAACCCTTTTTACCAAAATCAATTTGGTTAAAAAGTTATAGGCAAAAAAACCAAGCTGTCTTTTTACGAGGGAACTATGTATGTATGTATGTATGTACATTAACTTTCTAAAACTTTAAACGCGTTTTTCTCGAAATTATGTTTTCAGAATCGGGCGCCAAGATATCTGAAGAAGTACTGCACTTAGAGGTACGCTTTTTTTCAATTTTAAAGCTAATTAAATTGTCTGGAGCTTGAACCTATAAAATTTAAAATTTTTTCATTATTATTATTAGAGTCCTTAAAAGAGACAAAACATGGGCAAAAAAAATTTCCGAAGTCCGCCATTTTATCAATTTTTAATTTTTTTGCAATTATTTAGGTTCAAGCTCCAGCAAATGTCATCGATAGTTTCAGAGGAAATTCAGATTTTTAGATTCGGACAAAAACTCAAGGTGCTAGCTTGGCGCCCGTTTAAGCATCTTTTTTAACACGACCTCTTTCAAACGCTGCTGGGGGATACATAATTCGATATGTTGGTCTGAAAAAAATTTTTAAATGTAGTTAAATACACATTGTACATACTTTATAACTTCCAAAAAATTTGACAGCATTATTCACTTCCTTCCGTGAAAAAAAAAATTACAAAAAACACGTCATTTTTGAGGCGCTAGATGAGAGCCTCCCCTTAAAATACTTCTGTCTGTTTTCCTGCAATTAGATAATTAAGTCATTTTGACCCTATATCTGACATTAATTTGGCTGTTACAGCTGCTAAAGTGAGGTCGAGGAGAGAGATCCTAATATAGTATTTAGATATCCCAACAATTATACCATTATCATAAATCTGAATGTTTATAAGTACTTGATTTTTTTTAGGTGTGGTCCATGCCAACGTATTGCTCCAATATTTGAACAACTGGCTTCCAAGTATCCCCAAGCTGTTTTTATGAAAGTTGATGTTGATAAATGTGCAGATACTGCTGCCAGCAATGGCGTCAGTGCTATGCCAACTTTTATTTTTTATAAAAACAGATCTAAAATTGGATCGTGTGAAGGGGCAGATTCCAATGTATTAGAGTCAAAAATTCAACAATTTTATGGATTACCTGAACAAGAGGATACAGAAGGATCGCCGTCTGATCATGTGAGATAAAACATTGCTACTGTAATAATTTTGTATCCTCAATGATTCGATAATTAATAATCATTGGAGATTCCTTAGAACATAGCTAAATAATTTAGAAAAAATATCTTATATTAATTAAAAAGATATCGTGATAATCATTTGTAATAAATTGAAAAAAAGTATCACAAATCGAAGAAAAATACTATAAGTCACTCAAAATTTAATTAATGTGAAGTTTTATTTCATTTCAAGATAATTCTTTAACAGTTGTTGTATGTTATATGATTCAAGAACTTATTATATACTTGTTTTGCGTGATAAGTTGTTATTCTTGAGTGTTAAGGGTCAGCTTGCACCAGCTATACACGAAAAAAATTTTTTTTTTTCAAGTCAATCTGCAGTAGGGTGCCCGTTATTTCTTAGCTTGTTTTTATTACTTCTCTTTTCACCTGAATTTCTGTTATGCTAAGAAAAAGATCTATGATACCCTATCAAAAAACTCTCAAGGTCGCTTATATGTGTAACTTTCATCAGAAAACCCATCCGATTTTCGTATGAATTCATGTGTGAATTCCTACATGATTTCCCCAGACAAACTCATATATGGGGAACTATATGTGTCCTGCTTGAGGTTGATATATGAAATGTCGCAAAGAAAAATATCGATTCCTATATCAATTTTCATATCATTACAGAAACTACTTCGAAAATTGATTTTTTAGGGTGAATATAAAACAATTGTTGAAACATGATTTTTGATGTAAAATTTGATAAGAAATTCAGATTTGTCGTTAAAAATCATATTTATATACTTCCCCTGCATTAAAAAGTAAAAATAGAAAAATCAAAAAATAAATGTGTTCGTCTCCAGCGATTAGGCTAATATTGTAATATGTTCATCGATACATCAAAATACAATTACTGATAAATTTTGGTCTTCTGGTAAACACGTCAAATTATAGAAAAACCATGTTTTTAGGTCTTTCAACCGCTGAAGAATGATTTCTGATTTTCAACCGACAACCAAAATTTATCAGAAGTTATATTTTGAAATGTCGATGAAAATGTTACAATATTGGCCTAATCTTTTATGCTGTTTCCACTTTTTAATGGAGCAGAAGTTAATAAATATGAGTTTTGGCAAAAAATTTAATTTTACATATATAAAAATCATGTTACAACAATTGTTTCACCAATACCTGTCAGTAATTTATGTGATGATATGGAAATTGATATAGAAATCGATATTTTTCCGTGCGACATTTCATATATCAATCTCAAGCAGGTAGTTACAACACATATAGTTTCCCATAGGAGTTTGTCCGGGGAAATAATGTAGGAATTCACACGTGAATTCATATGAAAATCGCATGGGTTTTCTGATGAAAGTTACACATATAAGTGACCTTAAGAGTGATTTGGTAGGGGAGATATGAAAAGAAAAATGATGGGTTTAATTTGGCGCCCGAACTGCTTAGAGTAAAATTGTATATTAAATGAAAAAAATTAAAAAATTTGATTCTTAGCGCTAAAAATTACGAATCAATCGTAAGAAATTTATAATCGCGTTCTCTTATTTATGTTTATTTTTTATTATATAGTTGCAAATGTGTTTTCGTGAATTCCACGGCTTTAAGTTATTCTGAAATTTAGATTGAAATAAAACCAAATTCAATGTATTAACTTGATAATTGAAAAATAAACTCGAGGAAAATTTAGTCTAAGTGGTAGTGTGAGAATTTTGAAAATTTTTATTCATGTTTGGAAATTTTTTCAATAAAATAAATTGTTTGAAGTTTCGAAATATGGATGTCATGATCCCGAGACGCGCAGTTTTTCCCGCAATCACGAAGATATTTGTTTTTATAATGATTCAGGGTGTAATGGAAAAATAAAATACAATAATTTGGATCTATTAGAATCTAAAAAATTTCAATTGAGCGCCATCGAGTAATAAGTATGGAATCCTCTTTGCTTTCTCACTTTTGTCACACACCTCATATTTTATAACATGTATCTAGTAAGATTCTTCTCGAGCATGAGTCAGAGCGAGATATGCGTGACTTTGTAGAGTAAAAGTTCGGACAATTTATTTTGACGACCAATCATCTCCATCGAAATTTTTTTTATTTGATACTTGGGTATGTAGTGAAAAAGGTTTTTTCTCATTAAAATATGTAACCTTGAATTTTTTCAGATTTTTACATAGTAGGCGCTAACATCTAGAGCCAAAAAACGCTATTTTTAATTTTTAGAATTCTTTGGCAAACTTTTTCGTTCTCTGCATTTTTTCGATTCAGGCTTTCTAGTTCAAACTAGAGCATAAAATATATCAAAACAGTTTTATCATCTCTCAATGTTTTCAGAAATTTCTTCAAAATTGCGTGAAAATCTATCTGATGCTTTAGCTTGAAATAGAAGGCTTTAAGGTGATGCCTTGGCCACAATTTTTACTGACCGAGCACAGAAAATGTATATTTTCGTAACTTTTTTTCCAAGCTGATTTTCGAAAAAATGGCTCTGTGGAGCCCTCCGCATTGTTGCTGAGAACAACTGCGACAAATTTCAGCCAATTTCATAGGATAATTTTTCCGGAAAACAGGATCGAAATTTTTGATTACTGTTTGTAGGATAAAGAATTTTGGCCACCGAGTCGTTTTTCGAAAATCGGTTTATTAAAAAAGTTTTTTCAATTTACATTTTCAAGGTTCGGTTGTTAGAAAACGAGGCGTTGGCATCACTGAAGCGCTAGAAAAAATTCAAAAACAACTCATTCTCGACGAGGAATCCAATGGTGACCATGAATATGATCTTGATAGATTGATTGAAAAACTTTATTCGGCCATAGGGTAAACCCCATCTGGCACTGTCGTATTTACATTTATGATATTAACAATATCAGCAACAATAATGATAAATTATAATTAAGTAACGTGGCGTAAGAGATAGTAGTTATAGTGTCTATGTAATGTATATGCATAATAATAGAATATATTAGTAGTAGTATTAGTAACTGGTAGCAGCTATAATAGTAACAGTAGTAGCAGTAAATGGTGTTATTTTCGTATAGTAGTAATAATTCGGCAGCGCTAGTAGTAGCAGTAGTAATAGTAGTATGCAGTATCGGTCGCAAAAAATCAGCATATCATGGTTCAACGTTGCGTGGATGTCGTCATCTCGTCTTCATTTTCAGCGCCTTGATGTCGTGTTCGGTTGATATGGGGATGGGTTTTGTGTCATTGGTTTCACGCATGAAAACCGTGCGATTCCGCACCATAAGTGGAGCAAAGTTCAGCTTTTGAGCTGCATCATAGACTTTCTTGAGCAGATTGTAGACCTCATTTGGCCACAAGGGGCGTAATCTAATTTTGCCGTTACTCACACCGAAAAGTGTATGAGTATTGACTGAGGCTAGCTTGGACGCATTTGCAATGCAGTTGTTTCGAGTATTTGGAGACGATAGTTCGAATACGAATGCTCTGGTGTTATCAGGCGCAGGGTCACTTCAGCTTCGAGGTTATAGTCTGAGTTCCCACCGACATATAAGATCATTTATTAATAATAATTTGTAAAATTTTTTATTTATTTATTAAGCCCAATCTGAAAGATATTTACTAAGAAAATTTTTTGATTAACAGCGGTTTTTTCTTAATAGTCATTGCCAAAATAGTGACATAAATAAATTAATTACTACCAATCTAACTTTTTCAGTAAATGTCAAGTACGGTCAACCATCCAGTGAATGAATGGTTTCGAAATATGTGATATAAATCACTTAATAAAAACCACAATAATTTTTTTTATTTTTGACGTAGATGATTTCCAGACTTTAATGCTCTTATTAGACAAGTTTAGTTATTAATTTAATAATAATTGTTAATATAAAATGTATTATTTAATTAATATTATTTGAAAACGTATTTTACCAGTAAATGGTTGGCCTGAACCAATGATTTTTTTGGCAATAATTATTAACGAAAAGACACGGTTTATGAAAAAATTTTTAGTGAATATCTATCTGACTTGGCTCCATAAATACATACAGAAATTCACAAATCTCTTATATATTGAGACCTGTGAGGGTTAAAGCCTGTGCTCGCGCCCTCCAGTCTTATTATTTTTTTCAAAGAGGCTCCTACAGCCTATCCTAGACTCTTACCTCAGAAGGGGTCGAGCCGTCAATAAGTTTTCAGTCTCCTCAAACCCGCATCACTCTCACGCATTCATACTTTCGCGTTTGTATTATTAACTACATTTGCCGCTCAGTGACATTGTCACAATATTTACTTCAATAGTACTTTATTAGAACTAGGTCACCGACCTAATCTCCGCAACACAATCTTCGGTGACAAAAATCTCTGAACACAACATATCAAAAATTAACACAAATTAACACAAATAACCCAAGCAACCCAAGTAACGCGAGTAACCCAGGTAACCCAAATAATCCAAATGACAAAGTAATATTTATAGATATCTAAAAAACATGGATAAAATGTGACGGAAATTTTGTCGCGCTCCCATTAGAACTATATCGCAATGAAAATATTTTATAAGTTCTTAGGCAAGATTTTAAAAAGATCTTGATAAAATTTTAAGACATCTGGTAGCAAATTCTTATATAAGATCTTGATAAAACTGGAGGACTTCAGGTAGCAAATTCTTAAGAGAGTTTTTGATTTCATTACTAGACTTGAAATAACAAGTTCTTATATAATTTGAATTTCACGATTGTGATGAAGTTTTACTATTTTATCAAGATCTAATACAAGAACTTGCTACCAGATGTCTTACAATTTTATCAAAATCTTTTTAGAATCTTGCCTAAGAACTTATAAAATATTTTCATTGGGGTAGTAGCACCATAACAATAAAATATTAAAACTATAGCAGTACTATAATATTACTATAGCTTACATAATATATAGAACTATTATCGTACCTTTTGTTTTTAATCGAAATCAAAAATTTCTTAAAAAAGTCTAGAATGCCGAACGAACGTTAGCGAGTAATGACAAAGCGCTAGTTGTTATTAATAAATGATCTTATATGTCAGCGGGTACTCAGATTATCATGCTCAAGATCATAATCAAGGTTACTATAGAATTCCTCGTTGAAAAATACGTCGGATACATGGTTTTTAAATTTTTTCTTGCGTTTACTCCACGATATTTTCAGGGATTTCCATCCTTGTGGCGCACCCTGTTTGTACACATCAATATTTGCATATTGTCCATTTAATGTACTGATAGATTGAAAATAATAATTTAGAAGAAAATAATATCTATTGAGATACCGCAAGTAAAAGTTAAAATTATATAAAATTTGCATAATCGTAAAATTAATTTTCTGTATAATTGGTCATTTGTTTCAATAGCGAATATTGTTAAGTTTTCAACTGTAGATGCTCCTCAATATTAAAATGTAGCAAAATTAATTAGAACGTATAACCGCAACTCTATTTTCATTTTTTGAGACCTTTGAAGGTTGTTATGCATTTCTTTACATGATAAACGACAATTTTAATCAATATGATTTTGATTTTTAATAATAATTAATGTTTCTGTTAATTTTAGATGGACTTGATATCTCTAGTTATGAAGGCTCAATGTGAGTGTTTGAATGAATCAGATGATCACTGTTTTGCAGATTGTTTAGTGTCGAATGATGATTATCTTGAAAGCGACTGTGATGAACAGTTAATTATTTCGATTACTTTTATTCAACCTGTAAAAATCCATTCTTTGAAAATTCGAGCCCCAGCAAGTAATGGCCCGAAAAATTTAAAACTTTTCATCAATCAACCAAGAACTATTGATTTTGACATGGCTCAAACCAATTCAAGCGTTCAAAATTTAGAGTAAGTAATGCTATTTAACAAATTCTAATGATCAGAGTTGCAAATTTTAAGATAAGTCCATAAAGATTACAAAATCACATTTCAATTGGCAATTTTTTGCATGTTTAATGAAAACTTGAATTTCCATCATTTGATGTTTAATTAACAATCGATTTTAAAAGTATAAAAAATTACAATGAAATATTTGTAATTTTTTATATTCAAGAGCCATAACCCAATAAGGGGTATTTGCACTACTTTATTAACAAAGTAAAAATGGACTGATATACATTTTGCACACAGCACACAAGGGCCCTATAAATGCAAGTAATTGATCACAAAATACTGGCAATTACATCTTATTCATCGTTAAATACGAAGAAATGCTTTAAAAATTAATTTTAAAGAAAACCTCAAATAATTGAAACTTAATTCCTAGATCAACTTGTATTTGATTACCCATTGAAATGTAATGATTTATTAAATCAGTAATTCAATTACTTTTTTAATTAAACTTTTACAACGTTGCTAGTAAACATTATGATATTATTTTTGAGATATTTTTCTCAGAAAGGATACTTCTGAATTTGTTATAGAAATTATTTCTTCATACTTTGGATATAAGAGTTCTAACTACACAAATGACTTGAAAAAATTTCGAAAATCGTTTAGTAATAGTAATCAAATTTATTATTGTGTCAAAAAAACAGTATCTGCAACCCAGACTTGAACCAATGACACCTAAGATAAATGAGTCATTTCACATCAAGACGGTATAAGTACAAAAGTCCCAAAACAAAAGTCCCAAATTATTAGTCCCAAGAATTTTTAATTCCAAAGTGATTTAGTTTCAAAAAAATATCCAAAAAACAAGAAATCTCCTAACTCGAGGCCTGCATGGCATTGTTAGACGTAATCACTCAATTCTAACTCGCTGCAGAAGTACCTAAATGTACCTAGAAGAAAAAAAAACCTATGAAACGATGGGAAATTACTTCAACTTTCTATGGTGAAGTCAGATTCTCAAAAATGTTCTATTATCCTCGGGAAAATCGTCGGAAAACCTTTAAAGTCAATTATCTAAAAATGGGCATTTTTAAGATTTTGATGTGTATTTTTCAAAAGTCTCAATCGAAAGCTGAGGAAATTTTCTATCGATGTGCAAGTTTTCAGAGTGTGGTATGATTATTACTTATTGAAATGCAGCGCAATGACAATAACTACTCCGTGTTAAGGATGGGTGACACGTAGATGCTAAAAACGGTCCTTCCATTTTGGCTCATGCTAGCCTATCAGTACAGGAATTAGCATGTGTCTGAATCTTTTGCTCTCCAACGATCCATTCAGTTATGAGGCTTTTTGAGTCCTACACTAGTCGTGGTTACGATTCTATCGTTGTTTCAAGACTATAAACACGTTTATCTTCTTATCGCGATGAACGCACTGCAGACAACTTAGACAGCTTTAAAGTGGTTCAAATTTGAATGTAGTAATGTATATTGTACAGGTCACAGCTTGGGCGACGCGACTTCGCCGTAATTTTTTTTTTTTTTTTTTTTTTTTCTCCACCCCATTCGGACACTCACCGGAATCCGCCGTTAGGCATTGCTTCGGTGAGGCCGGGGTTAGTTGAGCATTTCTGCTACTTCTGTTAGTCGTTGTTTTCCATACATCCCCCATCCGTCGCATAGTGATATGCGACGATTAGGGGTTCAGGGACTCATCTTTTTTCTACTTGGTGAACCTCCAATCCTGCGCGATGCCATCGTCGATTGTCGTATCCCCTTCTTCAGAGCCGTCTGCGTGGACACACATTGCTGACATCTCCTCTTGAGTTAGGCATCTTCTTTAGAACTCGCTGTCTAGTGCCATCTTGTGAGTGTGGTTCTCACTTCTGCAGCCGATGGCAAGCCCATCCCATTGCACTGTCGGCTGCATCTTGTGAGTGTGGTTCTCGCTTCCGGCGCTACCCTGTGAGTGCTCCTTCTTTTACTGTTGTCGTCTTGTGAGTGTGGTTCTCGCTTCAGATGCCATCATGCGGCCGCAAACGAGCCTAAGCTCCCGCATCCGGCGCCCTCTTGTGAGTGTGGTTCTCGCTTCCGACTTCATCATGGGAGTGTTGTGCTCCATCTATTGCCAGCCTTGTGAGTCCTCGCCTCGGGCTCCTACTTATGATTATCCTATCGCTTCCGGCTCGCACAGTGATCGGGGTTTTTTTACCGCTTCGGAGGCTGATGACATAGCCCGGGTCTTCTTTTTGAGTGGTACCCGCTCCACCTCGGGCACGGGCTCGACCACACCAGGCGAAAAAACGAACCTCAAAAATTCGTCCGGGATCGAACCCACGCCCTACGGCGTACCTTGTATCAGGAGGCAAGAACTATACCCACTGAGCCAAGGAGGCCGATTGACTTCGCCGAAATGGGCATGTGTAAGTGCGTGTGTGCATGATTGTCGCGCGTTTCAGGCAGCAGCGAAGAAGATGCAGTCACGTGGGCCTGAAGCTCCGTGGAAATTCGGCGAGAACAGCAGCAGTACACCCAAGTGGGCAGATTGATTTGAGCCGTGCTTTGGCTAGGAGCTCGCGAGAGAGAGCAATTATCTCACTAGCAAAGCTACGAAGCCGGACGGAGTCCGCTGTGTGTTCATGCGATACGAAAAACGACCAAGTTGGGTGTGAAGAAGCCCTGAGGCTTGGCCTATTTTGAGGCGTGTATTCGCCTGTGATTGAAGTTGCGATTGGGCTGGTGATCGTCCACGTGAAGAAAGCAGTGCAGCTTGTAAAACCTTGTGTAGACTTGGAAGTTTCACCCAAGAGAGGCCTGGACTTGGCTTGTGAGTTTCCTGGAAGTAGGGCTTATAAGACGCTGCGAGAAGACAAAGGTCAGCAAAGAGAATTAATATCAGGCGCCGAAGAGAGAAGATAATTTTAAGGTACTTAGTCGGCGCATTAGAGTGTGTGCCCAGAAGGCAAAGGTATGATTTGTGATTTGAATGTGAGAATATTGGCCGTATTGTGATCAGCGCGAGTAGCGTGGGCAAGATAAGGCTCAAGGTTGGGTGCGGATCGCCCGAAGACGCGACGCGTAAAGTAAGCCCTCGTGGGCAGTAATTTGTTAAGGTAACGATTAGTTTCTAAGTAATAAATTGTTTGATTTAATTGAAAATGGCTCGTATGGCTTTCTAAGTCCTGAAAGCCCCATTTTCAGGTACGAAGGCCCAGAACGGAGTGACGGGTTCACCAGCAGCGGGCCCAACTCGACGAGAGGGCACATACTCCTCGTGAGACACGGTAAAGTCGGGTGCGTCCCGAATAAAAAGTATTTCGACGGCAACGCGCTGCAGGGTGAATTCAGAGGCCCGGTAGTTGCCCGTTGCAACACATATTTTACGTTGGCCCCTGCGCAAGAGACATGCTTTCAAGCTAACTGCATTGTCCAATTTGCTTCTAGTAAAGCACGCACTTTACCTTTCCTTTTTTGGCCACGATATAGCCATGAAAACAGCATCAGAAGCAGCGATTGATAGTTTCTAAGAAGCATATCTAGCTACAATCTAACAAAATTTTCATTTTTGTCATCGATCGTTATCGAAATTCCAGTTGTTGAGAACAGTCCGTAGAAGGTCTGATTTCATTCATCGTCTCGATTTTTCAGCTCCATATGCAATTGTATATAATTTTTATGTAATCCATCATTTTTAATTCAAGGTTTAATAGCGTTTTTTGCGCAAAAATTACATGTGTGGGTTTTTTTCTAACAAGGAAACCATATGAGATGTGGGTCACCAAAAAACCTGAAATTTTTTTTGGGGTCAACTGACCCGTAGTGATAAAGTCCTCTATAGGTAATTTAATCTAATGGGTCCTGAAAATCATTTCAAAGAATAGTATATTACTGCCCTAGGCTGCGAAAAATAGAAAAGTCCCAGAGTACTCGTAATTAGTGGCCGAGGCCAATAAACATGTGCTCTGGGGCTTTCTTTTTTCGCGACATAGGCCTGTTTACTATTTTTCATACTCAGTGGCCCAAAAATCGCTCTTCCCGCTTTGCGCAGCGGCAGGGAAGTAGTCACTTTCGGGCAGCAGGTATGAAAAAATATCAATTTTAATTAAAGTTAAATCAAAAAACATGATTTTCTGCTCCGTAGTTTGTAGTTTTAAGCTTGATTTTTGGTATATTTTTTATAATCCATCGTATTGAGAACTTGAATACATTAATATTTTTATTTCAGGTTATCAACAAAAGATATTGTGGAGGAAAATCCAATTTTACTACGCTATGTGAAATTTCAAAATGTTCAAAATTTACAGATATTTGTTAAAGATAATCAAAACGGTTTTGATACAACTCGAATCGATCATTTGTCTATTTTTGGATCACCTATTTCTACTACCAATATGGGTGACTTTAAAAGGGTAGCAGGAAAAAAAGGCGAAAGTCATTGAGTATACAACTTTTTTTCTTTGAAAGAAATTTCGAATTTTATTTTTTTCAATTTGAAATTTATTACAAATTTCTTCTTTTGGAAATTTTTATTTAAAAGAAATAAGAGAAATTTTTTTCAATAATTTAATTTTATGTAAAATATCTCATTATGTTTGGTTTAATGACATATTTTTTATACATTGATCGTAATTGGCACAAGCAACAATAAGTATTCAATAAAATCAATAATCATAGCTTTTCTGATGTTTTATTTATTATTCAAAAGACGTTGACTCTCAAAATTACCTTTATACAGATTTCCATGAGACTCCAATAATATCAATGTAAAAATTATTAATTCATAGGCTACAAGAAAATGTTGAATAAGTTCTCATTACGTTACGTTGTATCTTATATAAAATGTTATGTTTTATCATCGCCAGTAGAAGTTCTGACATTAGTTTTTAAAAAAGCACATTTTGGCCATGCATTGCGCTCTCTACGCTTGTGCGCCTAATTCTTTAAGTTCTAAATTTTCGTAGCAGGAATAAGCAGGTATTATGATATACTGGCATCCAGCTGGTGATCAGGAGGGATGTTCAATTGTTAGAGTAATTTTACAAAGGGTAGGGTTATTGAAGAAAAAGTGTAGCACGTTTTATTTAGAATAACAAATATGTAGAAAACTGGTTTATTATTTTATTAAGTATTACGGGCGCATAAGGCGACGGTATACAATCAAGTGAGACGTTCCTTGACTCGCACGAAAGTCGAAGCCAGTAGGCTCGCACTTGCAGATCTTGAGCTACATAGCGAGCAGCGGAGAGTACCGCCCGCACCGATTGTGCCTGTGGTGTAAGGCTACCTCTAATATGAATTTTATATTTTCTCTAGATCTTCATTCCTTAGATGCTGCGTATACTTCTCAACTAGCCTTTTTCTTGTTTTGTTATTCGTTAAAAGATTCAGGTTTTTCCTGATGCTCAGCTCGTCTATGGGTTCAGAGGAATTGGATTTTACCTGGGACACCCAGTTATTTCCAGCGTTATTTTTGTTGAGATTTTCTATAAGATTTTCCAGGCAATTTTTTGGATATCTACTTGGTTCATGCTCCAACAGGAACGGCCAGGATAAGCTTGAAGAGTCTGCACTGGAATAATTCAAGCAAGGGCAGGTATAGAGTACTCCATATGGGGCTCAAGTAGCAGAGTGTTGAGGCCACGAACAAATCAAAAAGGTTGTTTTTTTGCGTCCATGAGCCCAATTCAATGTGGTTTATTTTAGAGGCAACAGGATTTGCCGCAAGTGCTGCCTTTCTCAAGATGCTTTTTGTTGCCGTGTCTAAGGTACCAGACTTTGTGAAGTCGATTCCCAGGTAGGTATATTGGCTCACGATTTTTGGCGCTTCTTTTTTAAAGTAGAATTTTTTATTATCTGCTCTTACACGGCCCTTTTTGAATATGACTATATTCATTATCTTTACATTGACAGTAAGTTTATTTATCGAGCAGTAGTATTCCAATGCAGTGAGTGTCCTATTCAACATCGTTGGTGTCTCTAACATGATAAAAATGTCGGCGTATGCCAGCAGGAGTATATCAACCCTGCTAAAAAAAACATGGGAAAAATCATATGATGTTTTGGCATGATTAATCATATGATTTTTTATATGATTTTTTCCAGCAAAGGAGGCAAACCCTTATTTTAGACGCAAGTACCAAAATATAATTTAAAAAATCAATTTAATAATGTCATTGGAAATGAAGAAACTACTTTTGAAAATATCTAAAAAAATGTAAATTTATAGCACAACAATTTGAGTAATTTGAAAGAGTTTGAAGTGAATTATAAGACTGCCGAACTGTTGAATCATCAAACTGCCTGAATTTTTACCATTTTTTAAAATATTAGCATCGATATTTTCTTGATGATAAGATAGCATAGTTATATTTGAATTTTCATGCCTACTACTTTTATAATTCGCTTCAAACTCTTTTAAATTGTTCAAATTATTATGCTCTAAATGTACATTTTTTTACCTATTTTCAAAAGTAGTTTCTTCATTTTCAATGACATTAATAAATTCAGACTTTAAATTATATTTTGGCACTTCCTTCTAATGGTTTTTATATTAACCCATTAACGACCAAAATGCTGAATTTTTTTGTTGGTTTTCGAAGCGATTTTTTTTTTTTTGTAGTTTTAGGCCTTTAAACAGTTTAGCATGGACCTATTTCGATGTAAAATTTAATGCCCTTTCAGAAACTGTGGGGTACAGACCACCTTAACCCATTAAGTTCGAGACGGACTCATTTTTTATTCTTTTTTGAACCGCTGTACTTTTGCTGAAAATTTGGTCTGGAGAACTTACGACTAAGCATATTCTACGCAAAATTAAATTAACTTTCTGAATCTGATGTCAGATTTTCGATATAATAAGGTCAAAAGTTATGGATGGTTTTATACAAAAAAACGTGATTTCGAAAAGAAAATTTTCTTTTCTTTTCGAATATTCGCATGTAAATCTTTTACATCCTGACGACTCAGGTACAAATAAAGCGTGCATAAGTCCTTATCTGGATGTCATGACGATTCCAATTAGTGTAATATAATTTTGGGTACAAAAAAGGCAACTGGAAAACGAAAATGTATTACAAAATTTCTGGAACTTGTAACTAAAAAATGATTGATTCTTAGTATTGATCAGAACTTTTTCATCTGTATAATTGTTTCTCAAATCCATCGTTTTTTAATTAAAAATTTCAGAAAGCTATAAATGGGCGAAATACAAAAAATTAGCAGTACTTTCAATAAATTTTGGATTCATACCGAAAATTGCTGGATTAGATTTTTATAGGTATTACTCACAGCTTTTAGGGTACGAAATTGGAAACCGCATTCAACGAAATCTAAAACCGCAGTCGTTATAGGCGATTTTCCGCTTTCTTGGCCATTTGTTATGTTTTTTGAACGTTTCTTGATACTCTCGGACTTTAACTGGCCATTAACATTATCGAATCTTTACAAAAATTAAATAGATATTTTCTAAACTTTGAGAAAATTGTTTATTTGGTTAAGGGATTTTTTGTTGATATCCAGGTGAAGTACAGATCGAATTAAATTAGATTTTTAGTTATGTGTCTCTTTCTAAGGAAACAAGCCTCTAGAGTGCTTAGATTTTTTTATGAATTTTTTTTTTTGAAAACTTGGACCAATTTCAACAAAAAAGTTCTGATACACTTTTTCGTTTAAATAACACTATACTGATATAGAAATTATTTTAATATTTGCAATTATCATGAATTTCGGAATAATGCCAACATCGGGCCTTTAGAAAAAGAAGAAATATCTCTATGAATGGTCGTCTATGGATGGGTCTACAGACGGTTCCGAAAATTCTAATAAAGTTTGAAGACATGTATAGAGCATCACAAAGAAGTTATTCACGTTTTTAAGAAAAAAATTCCCTACAACATTCGATTTCACTGAGAATCTGCTAGCTTTTAATGTGAATGTTTTTGAATTTATTTGTGGTTTTTTTCTTCTTGAATTTTTTTATCATTGTAATAAAATTTTATAAATCAAGACCGTAGTTTTCTCATTGATTGATTGTCCAGTCCTAGGCACTTTTGATCTCACAAAAAAAACATTGGGATGATATAGGTGCAATGCACAATCACGGCATTCACATTTAAGTACAAAAGATCCTACTAATTTTTAATATATAAATGAAAATTTTTTCTGACTCTAAATACTTAATTTAATTTACAGTAAATACCTTTTAAAAAAGTACTCAGATCGAAATCCCGATTTAGCTGGTAGTTAGAATCGATGCTGACGATACTCAAAATTGATGACACTTATTATTATTCACCTTTCTGGCCTTCTTGGCCTTTTAGCTAAGATTAAAGTGTACATTTATCCAATGATTGCATCGCGGATGTGTATGGCTGTCGGCGATCACCGAATATAAACTAACAAGGAGAGCCTTTCATCTGCGGGTCACAGATCCTTACCAAACTTGTTTGGGGGTCTTCTTGTACATAATAATGAAGCCCCCTATGGTTACTTTATTCCAATGGGCCCTGGAAACCATTATAAAGCACCATAAAGTATATATAATATAATATAATATAATGTATAAAATACCACTTATTGGTATCAGGCCTTGTACGGTCTAACTATCTCAAAAATATTTGTACATGAACTTTTATGGATTCTAAACACTTTTTCAAACAATAAACAATTGAACTCAATTGGTTTGTTGTGTAAGTTTTAAAGAGCGCACCAATTTGAGCTAAAATTAACGTACCAAACAATAAATATTGATGTAAATTATATGAAAATGTTTTTTATTTGTATAACTCATATATCCCTTCTCTTCACCTATTCCTGACACTCACCTGGAGTGAATTTACGTATGTTTTGAGAGCCAGAAATAGGTGATAAAGAAAGAACAGTAAGTTTTATAAATGAAAACATTTTTACATGATTTAATATAAATATTAGTTGATACATTTTAGCTGGAATTGATTCGCTCTTTGAGAATTTCAGTAAACCAATTGAGTTAAATTGTTTATTGATTGAAAAGGTGCTTTGGACATTAAAAACTCAAAGTATAAATACTTCTCAATAAGTTAGACTTGCCTGTGTAAACTTGATATCATTATACGCTAACATATAGTATTTTAAACATTATATTATATTATGTACTTTATGGTGCTTTATGGTAGTTTCCAGGGCCTATTGGAATAAAATAACCATCGGAGGCTTCATTATTATGTACAAGAAGATCCCTAAACAAGTTTGGTAAGGATCTGTGACCCGCAGATAAAAGGCTCTCCTTGTAAGTTAAACACGGCCAGTACATGGATGGGACTACCTCGCAATCCCGCGTGACGTCGGTCCACACACTTCTTTCATTTTACAATTTTGTTTCTCATTATTCCCCACCTCTCTGTCATCTTGGACTTTTGAGTAAGGTTTAAGTGTACATTCGCCAAATGATTGCATCGCGGATGTGTATGGCCGTCGGAGATCACAAAATATAAACAAAATTAAACGCGGTCA